GTCTATAGTACTAGAATTAGGACTGTATTAATATTCGCCATTTTATAGTCATTCATTACCATTCTTGCTATGATATACCTGGAATATTACATTTACTTTATCTAATACAGCAGCTTTTAAACTAAAATTAATTCCTGCTGGTTTATATTAAATTGTTAACTGGGGTTGTGAATAATCAACAGTTAAATACAGGTAAACAGTTTATACGAGATATTTGTATCGTACAAAATTTCATTCTATATTTATCATATACAAATTAATAAATTAAATACAGATAATGATGCTCGGTCTAAAAACCTTTGTTAAAAATATCTATTGTTTAATATATATCATGATCTCTGTTATTATGCGTTATTGTCTGAAGCATATTGAAATTTTTCGAGATTTTTATGCATTATAACAATAAATTATTAGCAAGGTGCTTAGATACCTAGTATACTTTTCTTGATTGGGCGTATCGTCAATCGATGTGATTTTTAAGTCATTTTAGGTGTTTTGTGAACTGTGAAATAAAAAAACAATTACAAATCTTGCCACGAAAACCCATGCAGAAGATTTTCTAGTTTAACGAACTAAGTCATGGTGTGAAAGTGAAAAAATCGCAGGTTTCTATAGAAATTAAGGCTTACGAAGATCCAAATATCATTGATCGTATATCCGTCTACATTTTTCAGATTATAAAAATTGATTTATTATTAATGAAGTAGCCGACCGATCAAGTTGATTAAATGTACAACCGACAGCAACTTGGTTACAAAAATCAGTATAATATCCCAGATCCATTTTAAAACTTACGTTTTGGCAGTATGATTAAATATCGATTGAGGTTATTTCATTCGTTATTGCAACCTAATGTCCTGATGTGTACCTATTAAAATAATGTTCTATAATAGGGTGCTCATGGAGAACAATATTTGTGTGTGTGTCTTAATTTTTATATAATTACATTTGTTTATTAATAACGATACTATTCCTATTTCATTGAGGCAATAATTAGAAGTTATCCGAACAATAGGTATTAAGAGATTTCTACTAATAAAGATTTTTTATATAAAGCTTGAATATCCAAACGAACTATATAATAGTGTTTTGAATACATTTTACCTGCTTTGTAATATTAGTATTTATACCCTTGTAATACTCCTTTAAAATATATTATAACAACTGTAGTTATTCAACAGTATTAATAAGGTATGTTATTAATTAGGCTGTTATTTTAATATGTAAAAGTAGGTACACGTAAGATCGATAAAATACTTTCATTTCATTCATAATAAATAAACTATGATTAATTAAAGCTTCAGCAAAACACGAACGTACAAAAATAATCATTGTCATATCACTTCATGTAACGATCATATCATATCTATCATAATGAAATTAAGTCGCTCTTACTGTTCACAAAATATATCGTTTGAATACGAAAATAATTGAGCGATACCAAATCTGTATATAATATCACTTCAGAATATTCATTACATAAAATGTTTTATCTAGAAATCACTCAGCTTAGAATATCTTAAATAACTATTTACACAAAAATTAATATAGCTGGCACTTACCCATAAAGGGTCATATTTAGCGGAAGATGTTAGATGTCAAATTATGTAGGATTATTATTAAAATATTAATATTCCAATGGAAACGCTTTCGTAATACATAAAACGCTATGCTTATTTAAAATAAAATATAAAATCAGTTTCGAACTCGTCGTTAAGCCTAGCCCAGGCACAGCATAGAGGTTCAACCAAATAAAACCTACCTAATAAAGTTTTTATTACATTAAAACTTTATTATATCAAGTCGAATCCGAAGCTGATTTTTTATAGAGTAGCAAAACAGAAACCGAATCTTCGGTTCTACCGCGTATACTCTTCGGTGTGAATCTTCAGTTATTTTAATATCTAGAGTCATTTGAGTGGCCACTTCGTAACTATACGAAGTTCATCAACCGTCAAATAAATTCAATTCCAAACACATCATCTACGGTTGCTATTTAATGAGAAAGTATTTGACAGAAATGACGAAGCATTTTATTCTGAAACTTTTGTAGTATTCAATCATAATGTGTATGATTGGTATTTTGACTTCCTTCCAAATGTAAAGTCAAATTTACAGTACGAAATTGGTGTCAAAAATTGTGGCTCACGAAACTTTTTTTCAGCACATGTGAAACAGCGTAAATTCAATAGTATATTCAAGGTAATGATCCAGTTAAGAAGCTTTAAGATATTTCCTCATTAAATATCGACATCACGTAATTCGATTCAATAACAGTTAGAAGATAATGTATTTAAATATGTCGTTTAAAATGAATAGTTATTATTCATACTTGCCCAAATCGTATAACATTCCTTACTGCTGTCGCGTTCATTGTATTGTTGTATATTACTGATTCTCCATTGTACTTATACAAAAATTTACTCTTTACGACCAAATTTTAATGAGTTTCGAAAACAATTGGTACATTATACAAATATGGGTAATTTGAAAATATTTTATTACTGTCGAATTCATCAAAAAGTGGTCGTGAACAATATTACGATTGTTATTTATTATTAATGTTGTTGATTTAGAAAATAAATGTTAGTTTTTTTTTTTTAGTTTTTTTTTATTTTAATGTTTTTGTTTTTTATTTTTAGAATGGCTCGGGTGGATTCAATGAGCAAGGTGGTCGTGGAAATGGGTAAGTAGTATTTCAGGTTGAACCGTAAGTTTTCACGTCGGCCAATAGATGGTGTTAGTATCATATTTTATTAATGTAAATATCCATATTCTTTTATAATTAACAGACCGGACTATAATAAATGCGGTTCGAACTCTTATTATGTTAAATGCTAAAGGTCATACCACATATTAGTTTAAGGGGAATACCGCGAGTTTAATGATAATATAGTATATTTCCTATTTATAGCGTGATATTTAATACATTCAACAAGAAAATATTTATTATTGAATCATGTTATAAAATTTTATTTTTTATAAAAAATCATCATAAATATAAACAAATAATTTATTTAATCTGATCTTAATTTATAACAGATTTATCAAACTATTTCATGGCAATAAGAGTTCATTGGTCGTTAATATTTTTAGATAGTTCTCAATGTTATAGGTTAAGAGGATTATGGTTATCAACACTGCGATGCAAGAGAGAGAGAGAAAGAGAGAGAGAGGAGAGAGAGTGAGAGAGAGCAATAGTCTCTAATGGTTCCCCGAAAAGAAAAATATATTTACACACTCACTTCTCGAATACGTTTGTGAATTTTAGTAAAGTGAGATACTTTTTCTGTTTTAATAGTCCCAAATAGCTGTGCAGCAAGTTGACGTTTTCGTCGTGCTACCATTCTTATTCTTCATATGAATTCAAGTAGGAATATGACCACAAAACAAAGTGCGTACCATTAAGCATGAATTGTAAAACAGTGTCATAATAATTTAGCTTCGATAATATCAAGGGCTCACATAATGTATCAAGATACTTTGAGAAGTATCCTATATAACATAATTTGAATCAATAAAATAATTTGCAAACACAGTTAGTTATTTTCAAAATTCAGGTGGGTGTCGAGAGGTAGATGCGGTTTTCTGGAGTTATTGGATAAATGGGTAAGCTTTAAGGTAATACCAAAAGTGTATTGTATTTAGTTAATTTTAGGTAATTCTTTTAGTTTCTTTTATCATTAATTTTGTTTTTTTTTTTGTTTGTCGGGTTGAGATTCAGGCAGTTGAAGTAGTACCATGCTTCTTGGCCAAATCTTCATTATTGTCGACGCTGCTTTATTATATTCATTTAAGGGAAAAGAGAGGTATAATAGTAGGTCATCAGCATTAAGATGATATTTCTGAATGCAGTTTATAATGTCAGCACTGTACAAAATATACAGAATGGGCCCAATATTGTACCTTGCGGGACACCTCGGGTCACAGGGAGAGGGATAGATTGTGATTTTACCAACTCATTATAACAGAGTCTACAAGTTGTTATGTATTTGTGATGTAGGTTTGAAACCATTTCCTGCCTTTCGATAAACTCTTGCTAATGGTCGATAAAAGCAAGCGTTATTTATTGCTTAAAAAGCACAAGCACTAAAGCAAAACAAGATTACTGATCTTCCCTTGATCCTGAACAACTAAATACGATATCGATCTTTGTATCAGCAAATACAGTATTAGAAAGTTTGACGAGGAACTTGCAAATTGATCACTTAACAACCAACCTTACCAATATTTTCGACATTTAAGGGCAATAAATGAAATTGTTAATATGTCTAGTGCTTTTTATAATACTCCTTATTTTTGCGACCGTTATAATTATACAACGATAAGAATCACGTTTGGATTTTCGAGTGAACATTAGGGCAGGCAGATCAAATCGCATCATCAGAGAAGATGTGAAATATTCGGCCAAGATGTTGACACATTCAGCACTTGGAATTCACTTCTGTCAATGCAGCATATATATCCCATTTTAGCAGTCCAGGAGTGATATTCTGAAGTATCGTCATCAACAAAGCATGACTTCCCAGATCAGGACTAGAGTACATATTTAAGTTACGTACCAGTAGAAATAACACCAGAAGGAAAAATATCAATATAAAAGAATAAAGATATTTCCATTCAAAAAAAATAAATTAAAGAGACGTTAAATTTATACACCGATGCCATCTATTGGCGGATTAAAGCTGTTTCACTTTAAGAGTTTGCATAAAGAGACAATAATACGAAAAAGAGAAGCCAGTCAATCAAACCGATGCCGGCTTAATATCTGATAGATTAGATTAAGATTAGATTAAGTATTTTAAAACTTATAAAAGTAAAAATTATACAATTCCAGATAATGGTTATTTTTTCACAACCTAATAAATTTATGCACTCTTTTGATATATGAGATAGATATAGAATTATAATGCTACAGGAACTGAAATCAAATAATGACAAAACAATGTCAATTTCATAGGCACCCTGGGGATAATCCTTTCTACAGCAACATCGACAGTATGCCTGACATTCGACCTAGAAGAAAGTCAATACCCCTCGTGTCAGAGCTCGTAAGTAGCGACTTAATATCATAAACTTACTCGTCAATCTTTATCATTGTTAAAATCCAATGGAAGTCAGCCATTTTTGTGGCCGGTTTCACTATCTCATAGATATTATGTATATCATTGTGAGAAACATTTCACATCTTCTCTATGTGAAAAACGAGGGGTTTATGTTTTACCAACACGGAAGGTAGATTTTGAAACTGGCCGTAAATGTTTACAGCTCGCATCGACGTACGCTTCCTGAGGCTTAGTATTATTAGGCGCGTAATAAATGTTTTCTTCTGAACGGAAAATTTCTACAATGTGTACTTTGAATAATAAAAGAAGGTTGGATAGGTTTATTATCACACATGTTTTCATCCAGAGTTGTTTCATTTTAAAATAAAACACTATCAAGTTCTGTGACGTAAATTATGGAAATAAAATTAGAAATTTGGTCTTTTGTAGCAAGAGGACCAACTAAAAGTAACCTTCGTTTATTGTTCTATATAATTCAATACTTAAAAGACCTTTTACAACCCTTCTCTCTTCATTGATGTTTTTATGTTACCTCAAAGTTTGCGTTACCCTTCTAAATGTCATTAGATGGATTAAATGCCTACTCTTAGATAGCAATCCAAATCCAAACTGTCTGTAATGTTAAGAGATTTATTAGGGGTCAGCACAGCGGCAGTAGCGGATCCAATAACCACAAGAATGATTCTTATTCCTGACTAAAATTAATGATATCGTTGCATTTTACCCCTCACCACGGACCCGCAGGTTCTCAAGGTATTTCTCTCCCAATAACACACTTTCTATGCATGCGATTTGTTGTTGTCAGTGATGATAATATAATTAACAATGTCTTGATCTCTCTTCGCTAACTATACGTAGTCTGCTTGCGTTATATTTATTTCTCAAAATGGACATTAATTTGGCCTTTGCATGAAATGCTTAACGATATGTTCGATCGGAACATATTTCATAGGAGAGTTTTTCAATACAAGCTTTATAACAGAGTCATAACATTTATGAATTATTCAAACTCTTAAAGAACATATAACATCATTTTGGGAACGTGCACGTGCTTTTTGATCCAATTTCAATTGCGAAGCTTCAATATCACAGCAAAATTATATTGACGTTTGTGACATTTTCAATTGTAACACCACTTAAACACAATGCAACGAGTAATAACGTATTATGTTTTTGTTTACACAAACTTTAAATTCATGTGTTTTGTAAGATGGTTTTCATGCACTTGGAGATTTTCGAAAATTAATTTTGTACATTTTAATTCAGTTCATATTCGTTATAATACTTTACATAGATGATAACTTTCATTAGATTTATTATTGTTCATGGAAATATTGATTTATTCGTAGACTGGTTTTCATACACATATTTAAACGAAAATAGCTTAAAAGGCAGCTTTCGGAGCATGCGTAGATACTAATTGAATTTAACATCACTTTATGATCATTAAAATTTTCAATAAACACACTTCAACTTTTGGTAGTAGGGCAGGCAATATAAGCTTTTAATTAGTCAACAATAGTAATGTTCTGGTCATATACTCAGTTGGAATATGCTGAGGTAATATTATTCTTTCTAGACACAATCATTAATATTCTGTTATTAATGTTTAGACAATGGCTGCAACGAAAAGGAATGCCGGATTGACGTCTGCTGTTCATCGAGCAACGCTTAATGATGAAGAACTGGTTAGTGAACAAGACGTTAATTAATTACACGACATGACCAACTAAAATTATAGTAATATATAAAAGTAAATTTGAATTAGTATTGATAATATATATAAACATTATTTCAAAATATTTACTTAAAAATTACTTACAGAAAATGCATGTCTACAAGAAGACTTTGCAAGCCCTCATATATCCAATATCATCAACAACGCCACATAATTTCGTTTTATGGACGGCGACCTCGCCGACTTACTGTTATGAGTGCGAAGGTCTTTTATGGGGTATCGCCAGACAGGGTGTCAGGTGTACCGAATGCGGAGTTAAATGTCACGAAAAGTGCAAAGATTTGCTCAACGCCGACTGTTTACAGAGTAAGTGGCGATATTAGTTGCTTGTTTACTTATGGAAGCAAAAACAAAAATGTTGGTTGGATCTATTTTTATAGTAGTTATTGTTTTGACAAATAATGACTACTGACTACAAACGTAGGTCCAATCCTTAAATGAACATATTATGTAGTAATATTTAGAAAATTATACGATCTATTTATTTGATATCTACAATGAAAAGTGTGTAATTTTCTAATAATTAAAATGAAACATAAATATAACTCTAAATACGAATATGATAATAGCGATTAAACTTGTTTCTGTTCTACTCATTAAATAAAACCACTTTTAAAGGTTTTATCGATGGAATTTTTGAAAATCACACACGAAATACGCAAAAATGGAACCAAAATATCGGAAAAATGAAATCTTTTCTCAAAAAATAGACGCGATGAAACCGCTTAAAAGTAATTTTAGAATAAATTTCAATTAATAAAATAATCACTAGCAATTTTGTGTTGTCGACTGTGATTTTCAATTCTTATTAATAAATATGTTTGTAATTATTACAAAGAACGTCACTCTGCATGTTTTCGTGAAACTATACGAAAAATAGTTTCTATGGTTTATAGGCTTGAAAGAAAGCATAGCTTGTCCCTTATTATCTGAAGTGGAGTCAAGGAGATCTTGACGGGGGCGCCCGTCTTACAAATATCTATAACCATACCAAGGAAAAAAATTGTTACTCTAGATCAACCTTATTGGTTAGGAAATGAATTTTTGTTAGCACATAAATTATTAGTGGAGTAATCACAGATACAATAATATGACGTAATTAAAGATAGAGCAATAAAGCTTTTGAACACTTCTCTCTTATTATCTAATACAGTTAAATTTGTGTCTCGAATTTTCAATAAACAAAGAGTTTTGACTCAAAAAAGAATATAATATCGCCAGCAACTTGGACAATTGATAAGGAATGTCCAAAGTATAACCGTAACTCTTAACACAAGAGCCTTGGATGACACTCTATGGGAAACTGGAGTTGATAAGAGTTCTGTCCTTTGAAAAGTTAATCATAAAGAATCAAAAGCTGTATATAACAAAACAATGATGCTTGAATGCTACAGGTATAAAACTCCTTTAATTAAATCCATTAATTTTTGTAGGTGGTTTGATAATAGTTTTAGCATCGACAGATGACGGTGATATTTCAATTTGGTGTTTATTTGTATTAACAATGATAATATATTTCTATACAGCTATCTTTACACCAAACCAAACTAAAGTAAACAATAAAAGTATTAAATGGTACACATTTAAAACTTCACTAAAAATTTGCCGCAAAGTGACGTTCTTGTATGATTAAAATAAAAATGTATAATACTTATTTAAGTTTAGCTTTCTACCCTGTATACTCTGTTAGATTTTGCTGTCTAGATGATTTCAGTGTCGAAAGGTAAATGTCAGGACTAAATAATGTCGTGGTAGAAATAATTAATGTTAACTAGCTCAATTTGTGCATGTGTAAATTTTTGCATGTGTCCGTTGTATAAGATGTCCGTTGTATAAGCCAGACGTCCAACATCCTCACTATATAATATAAGATCACCACAGTGAACAACACTAGCCCCATTAAGAAAAGTCACATGTTTGTTTATAATTTCAGAAAATACATTTTCACTAATATATATGTTTTGTTGATGTCGTCTATTTTTTTATTATCGATGTTTTTTTTTTCCCTTCCTTCATATTTACCTGACCTCATATAATAATTGCATGATGTTTTCCCCTTTCTGAATGATATTTTGTATATTGCTTCGGTATGCATGGCTATCGGTTAACAATTGATACATTATCAACATTATATTTTCAAAGTTTATTATTCCTATAAATATTCGGTTATTTACATTGCACGATCATTTTAGGTGCGCAGTCGTTAAGGCAAAATAACCGGGAATTATAATCATGTTTCAATTTAGATGTCGACTGCACGCCATTCTCATTTTCTGGTCTACACTTCGAAAGTAATAATATTTATATTTTTTTCTAGAATTAACTTCAACTTTATCACTGTTTAATTGAACATCATTATTTTAAAGTACATTTATTAATGTTAATTTCAGTTTGATTCTAATTTTGTCTCACTTAAAGCTTTTTTAAGTTTTGAATCATTTTTCATAGTAATATCTATCGTAATTAAGTTTTATCGTTTATCTAAAAGTGTATCTCTTATTGATGTTTTCGAAGTGTGGACTAAATAGATCACGTAGATAGGGATTTCGGTCTTGTCATTCGTCCATTCCTTTTGGGTTGCCCCGCCCAGCGCCGATACTCGTTAAAACCCTTGTTATACTATACTTAAGTTATACTTTTCTATACCCTACTTTACATTCTACACTATCTGACACAATTCTCTTCCAAATCGATATAGAAGCTTCAAAACGACAACCCTTGATAAATATAACATGACTTCTCACTTGTTTGCAAAGATGTGCCTGTAGCGGTGTGTGCACGCTATCCAGTGTCTATCCACTTCAATATTATATGTGGTCTTTTAGTTATTATTATTTTCTACGTTTATTTTTTATAGATTTTCACTTTCTGTGTTTATTTCACTGTCCTTTTGTTGAAACTGACTCCTATACATATTATAAAAGCTTTTCATTAATAAAGGCAGGTGTTGATTTGTAAATTAATGTTATATTTAATAAATGAAAACGGTTGAACCGTTGTATTTCTGTACTACCAAACATAACTAACATACAAATACAAAGGGTCATATTAGTCTTTTTGATACAATTCCAACGCTTTTTAGTAGTTTATTAGAAACGTGATATTTCTAATAACCTGCAAAGACAGTAAAAACGATTCAAATTTGTAATTTTTTTATTTAATATAGCGTTGATTTGTATCCAGTTTGTTTAATAGGCGTCGTGCTCGAGTTCACCCCGGCTTGCGCCGCTCAAGGCGGTCGACCTGATCAGATTTGACAATTGCTAAGGAATTCGGATCAGAAAATCAAGACAAAAGAGTTATAGTCTCGTCAGGTTGTAGCCGAGAGTAGCCGTGGCGAAACCGGGCGCGGGGCGGGCGGCCGTTCCGGCGCATCCCGCTTTTACAAAGAACTAGTTGGCACCGCCTGAGTAGTGTGTTTCGCAGGGGCCGCTGAAAAGTCATCAAAGCATGGCGCTGAAGACAAAGCCAATTCCATCATCACCGCCATGAAAGAAAGGATGAAGCAGCGGGAAAGAGATAAACCGGAAATCTTTGAGCTTATCAGGTATGCTTAATATCAAATCTAGTTTATTTAAAACACTCAGCTCATTTTATGTTCCAGGCATTTGAGTATACAGGTATAAATTATTTATTTATTTTCACAATAATATTATATAAGAAAAAACACCTCTTTTACATTTTAGGGTACGGTGAGTTTCTTCATTCGATCATAAAAACTTTAAAAACTTATTATCAATGATCATGCAAAGCGTAATGCATTATTTTGCAATTTCAGTATCATAGAACTATAGCATTGTTATGCGTGTAGAAAACCTGTTATATTTCCGTCGTAAACAATTGATCAAATCGAAATGGCTGACACGAGTGTGTTGTAACAGACGCGTGTTCAGCATGGAACCGGAGCCTCATTCAGCACACATGAGCACCGTGAAGCAATCAGTCCTCGATGGTACTTCGAAATGGAGCGCCAAAATCGCCATAACAGGTTCGATGATGTACCCGTGTTACTAATCAACTATTTCCCCAACAGGTGTCCAGAGTTCATCAGTGACAACGGCCTCACCGAAAACACAACACACACTCGACACTAAATTCTAATCCGTCTTTCGTTTCAGGCGAACATTTAACGTCGACCCAGATACTCACATAGACAGTCTCGAACAAGCCGAACAAATCACTATAGAAGGAACATCGAAATGGTCTTGCAAGATCGCCATCACAGGTTTGCTGTGGTCTTTTGCGGCTACGAACCGCACGCTCGCAGTTTTGACTCTATTAGAACTGACTCTCTTCGCCTGTATTTTGTACTGTTTATTTTTTTGACATCTGCTAATAACTGCTGCTTTGACCTAGCTTAAGGCTTGCAATTTGTCCCATGCCTTACGTTTAGCAGATTTCAAGAAAACCACTATGTTACATAATATAAATTCAGATACTAACTGATTTTATCACGGTCGATAATGCACCGCCTCTAGTCACCCCCGTTGAAGAGTAGTTTGATTTTCATAAACACAGAGGAAATTCCACGAATCCAACACTTCCTATTTGACCAAACATAACGAATGTATGTATCAATTAAATTCGTCACGCACACGAATTATATACTCCCATAATTTTACACCAAATGACACGAATTAATATCACGTTTAATGATTGTGATAGCTAAACCACAACTTGGCAGCACGTCTGCTAAATCGACACAAATTGCATGAATCTCACTTAAACATAAAATTTACATTATACATTTCAGACCAAGGGACGGAAGATTACTCTGAGTGTTATGCAAATTTAACGGGTTTGAATGACTAGTATCCAAAGTGTTTATTAAAAAAAGAATCATTAATTACTTCATTAGGATTTAGTAAATAAAGTTTAGATGAACTTTAGCATGGCGAATGAAGACCCCTCTAAGTCACATAAAACTACTTTTCAATTCCTGTTTGTTCACCTTCTAATTCTTTCCAACAGTTTCTGATTCGTGAAAATTCCGACGCCGGAATCAAATCTAATGATTTGATTCTCGCGCCTACCTTCACATTTCTTCTTAGAAACTTTCCTCTTCGTCGAAGTTTGCCTTAGATATTCGGTACTGTAGGCGCTATGATGAACTTGTTATATAAAATTACGGCATAGCTAAAAGTTTGGTAGATATGAAGCTAGTGTCTATTACCCCAACCCGACTGCTAACACTACACCCTATAATAGAACATAATTTTCAAACGATGGTTTGTTTATCAATTGTGGTTTATTGGTAAGTAGTAACAGGTATGTATATATGTAAGGTTATGCTAAGTGCGTAGTATAAAACTATATGCATTATGCTCATTTACATTTTTTGGGAAGTATATATTCCTCGAATAATCGTTAGCGTTGTATGTTAACATAAACGTTTCAAACTGTAAATTAAAGAAACATTATTTAGTGACAAACCTTAATTGAGAACCTAATATAATAAAACCGAAGATATACCGGATGCTATTATCTAAATATAGGTCTTATCAGAAAAATATATACAAAAATATTTGTATTTATCTAATTTTAGTCAAAAGTAAAATTCTATTGATCAATATTTACTACTATAAAAGTATATAACCAAGATTTGCTCAATATCTTTTTGTGATTCAGAATTAAAGTTAGAGAGTTCGGAAAAGTTTATGGCCTTCATTCATTTGCTGACTTAAGAAGAAATGTTGCTTGTAGCTAGTTGATATATTGAGAGATGTCAGATTATTGTTATTTGTATAGGTAGCTTCATGCTGTACAATTCAATGTAAAAAAAATTAAAAATAGCTTTATTAAAATTATCTTGAAGAGGCTATAAGTGATTTGAAGAATGAAAACTCATCAAAAGGCATCGCTTGTGTCTTAAAATTTATGCCAATATTATGATACATCCATTAGCTTTCATGCTTTAATTGGATGCGGATATAATATTTACGCGTTGTCAATATCTTACAATTACTACAATATTTTGATTAGATACGCGAAGTAATTTTTTTTTTACTATGAATGTCACTGGTGTTTAAATTCTTCAGCCCACGTAACGAAAACGCAAGGAAGAGAGTCGTCCATTTTTTATTACCTTGAAATATGAAGGAGTATTTACTGAAATGGAATACATGAAAGGATTTTGTATATAGAATTATTGAGAAGTAAATATCAATAATTTATTTCTTCAACAGTATAAATAGGAACATTTACTGAGACTCATTCAGGCGCACGAAGGGGCATCTTTGGAATGGTCCCTTAGATAGTCCTTTCCTTATAAAGCGTTTGTTGGAGCAGACTATTTGCTATATCTTTTTTAAGAAACCCTCTTTGTTGAGAAAGAAATAAAAATGATATTACTATGTTTAAGTCAAATTGTGATTTATTTTATGGAATATATTTAGTCAAACATCCACTGGTTTATACTTAATCAATATTTTCTCGGACAGTTATCTGCGCCCAAGGTTTGATTGCGAAAGACAAGAGTGGAACGTCAGATCCTTACGTCACTGTTCAAGTGAGCAAAATAAAGAAGAGGACGAGAACTATGCCTCAAGAGTTGAATCCAGTTTGGAACGAAAAATTTTATTTGTGAGTATTGAGTTTATGAGTATCTGACAATCACGAGTTTTTTCATGCGGATTCAGACATTTTGGAAAAGCAGATCTCAAACTATCATAAGACAAATTTCATCACAATTGCCATAGTAGATATAAAAGCTTGACTATCGGCATGTCGGGTCGATACTTATTCCCGGTTATTATTAGCAATAACCTACACTAAAACAAAGTTTCGCTTTATCGACTTTATGTTTTGGCTCTAGATTAACATTGAATAAAGTTTTCTTTACATTGTGAAGTTTTGATCAAAATACTTCGCTATTTCAAACCGAACTTGGGAAGAAATAAATCTGATTGATTGTCTTATTTGTTCTCAGTGAATGCCACAATTCCTCAGACCGTATCAAGGTGCGTGTGTGGGATGAGGATAATGACCTCAAATCAAAACTCCGCCAGAAACTGACGAGGGAATCCGACGATTTCTTAGGGCAAACGATTATCGAGGTAAGTAATAGTAATCCCAAAAAGAAGTATTAGGTCTTATGTGAAGAATTACTCTGAAGTTGCGTTTTGTCATTAATTCGGTTTCTACATGAAAAATTTAGTAACATAAACATTCGTAGGTATTTTGTGTATATCTATTAATATTGTATGTAATTTTCGTTTAATTTGTCTGCTTATTTATATTTACAGGAATATTTTAACGTTGCAGTTTTAAAGTAATTTACATTGAGTGTATAATAATTTTTTCCAAAAAAATCTTTATCTAAAAATGAAAAATTATTTAATAATAATTACAAATACGATTTTTACAAATTTGAAGAACTTCATTTGAAGCCGATAGATCATTTGAAGCCAATCAAACAGCAAATCCTCACAAATCCATTGTTTTATGAATTGGATTTAGTCGTACTAATTGAAAAAATTAAATACCAGGTGCGGACTTTATCTGGTGAAATGGACGTGTGGTATAATTTGGAGAAGAGGACGGACAAGTCAGCAGTATCAGGCGCCATCAGGCTGCATATAAATGTGGAAATCAAGGGAGAAGAGAAAGTCGCACCATACCATGTGCAGGTAAGTCGATTTTAAGCTTTCGAACAGTGGCCTAATTATCTAAATTTATAAATCTATCTTGATTCCTTTCCAAGTGTTATGAATTATATTGATTTAAGAAATCATGTAAAGTTTAAATTCGCAATCGCTTTCGGAACAAATAATGTTTTGAATGACCAAGAGACGTAATTAAAACTTTATAACGCTTGCCTTAGACAATTCAAATTAACGTTAATTTATTCTTTCATATAAATGTCTTGATCCTAATCGCTATCATATGTCAAATATTTGTGGCATGAAGTTCGTAGATTGCCAGCGATTTCAAAACTGGACCTCAGGTTTTGTTTTAAAAATATCTTTGTGAAAAGATAAAATTAATGAGAGAGCAGAGAACTCGGCAAAATGGAGTTTGAGGTGTAGTGCTAAATATGAAATGTTACTAAGAAGCTTATTCCTAAGTTTAGTATTGAATAGTCAAAAATATGGAAAGGTGTCTATCATAATTTGCGTTATAGCTCAACTGGTATCAAAAGTGGATTAAAGTAAATAAAAATGTTTATAGAAGTTTAGAATGAAGTTAGAGTGGTCTTTTTTTTACAGTTTGTAATAGAACTTCAATTTTAATACTTTCAATCATCCATACTATTATACTTTGTCCATGTGTACAAATGACGTATATTTTCCCAGTCAGGTTTGTTTTGATCCACCTTTAAAATTCCACAATTAAATACGCGTATTTTATAAGTGTAAACTTGTATAGTATTATAAATAAATGCAGCGATGTTTGCTTACTTCGCCGATGGCGCTATCGTATATACAAGCAACATGGACAATTATTCATGAGGATGTCTGACGTCCAATTTTCTCTTGCCTTTCATATTCCTCTTGTCACTAAAGTAGCCCAAAACGAAAGAAGAAGACAATGATGGGATACGAAATATAATTTTGTTGACGTTATAACAAAAACAAATGAACGTCACGCTAACTCAAAAGGACATAAAGAATATAAGCGTCCAAACACAACACCTTATGCTTCCCATCGCCTTTTCCTTCATTCAGTTACAGCAACAGGTTCGACAATTGGCGGCATCCTTGGCTGTCAGCCAGAATCCTATATTTCACGCAATTACTGACCAAAGCAAATTACCATTGATTGTAATGCCACTTTTTTGTGGCATTAGTGGCAATATTTTAGGTAACGATGATATATCAAATCTTAAATAGAAATTCGACATGTAAACTTAGTCTCGCCCCTTTTCATTCGAAGGTATTACGGATTGTATATTCTTTGTTTGGAATCTATCTTATATAAGCAATTATTCTCGCATTTAGAAGCAATTAGGAGCCCAATGGAAATTGCCCATTTAACATCGCTGGATTGCACTACATTTATATAAACCTTAGCTATTAGTATTTATAATTCACTTTCTAAGTGACAGATATACGCAAATTCTATAGCAGCGGTAAAAGTTTGCGATTTCCAGTCAAATCGCTCTTTTATTACCGAATTCAAATCAAGGTAATCGCTCATAAACGATTCATTTCGTGCGATCTCGGGATTGATTCGTTCGGTAACAACTGGAGGGTGCTCTAGTTTGTTCTGGCGGCGTGTCCAGATGCGGGACTAAATGGGACAAGTTCCGAGAATGAATGTGAAAAGTTCTCCCCGTGGTAACTAAGCGGAACTGTTGGCTAATGCGAAAGTATAATTTCTTACTCACATTCACCGTGGGACGGGATTTGGGCAAACCTTGTTATGTTAATTTACATAGAACTAGTTGTTACGGGCGAGGGCCGCAGTTGAATTGAGAAATGTTTTGCTTTTTTTTACAGAATGAAATTTGTTATTCAGGTTTCGTGAATTTTGCCGTTTTATTTTATGTATAAAGTTTCCCTGGTTTTTGTTACTGTTGAATTATTTCCCTTGTTTATTCAAAACAAATCATTTATTTGTGAAATAAATAATGTTTATTTTTAGTATCACATAAATACTTTTACCTGTTAAAAAAGTAGGATTTTTTTACCAAGGTATATTAAATCATGTGTTTTATTCACGATCATAAAATATCATCATCTGTTTTAAGTTGTTCCGTTTTCCACTTACACTAGTATGTGGTAAATTTTGAAGAAATTTGTCAATTGTCCTGCTTACAGCAATCCAGAAATATATTAACGATATAACATTAACTTCCTTATGAAGGAAACAACGCGGAAATCGTGTGGCTTATTTACAAAATGAATGCCAATTTTAATTCGCTGTCCAAACATATTTAAAAACGATATTTTATAAGAATGGATAGCCTAGTTCATAAATTCTATCCATAGTTTATAAATCTAGCAATCTAAAACTGCATGATTCAATACAGCCTACACAATAATTTAGGCACGTTAAACTGACTGTGACAGTAAGCTCTCCCATATCTATTTCTTTTTGAATTAATGTTATTATGGAAAGTTCCAAACTTCTAACTTTAACAATGCAACTGGAAGATGTTCAACTGTTTGAAATTAGCACAGATGCAAACTTTAACCTTTAAATTTGGTTCGTGCTGCAAATTATTGTAACTAGGTTAATTATTGTATATTGAATTGCTCAATAAAATGTTATAATTTAATTCTTGTAAGATATGCTGGTACATACGTACTTTATAACTACAAAATATCACGTATAGTGTGATACTACTCGTACTAACAAAATTATTTTAAAATCTTATAATTATTAAATACATAAATAAACACATTAAATCAATAATTTAAATATACTAAACCAAAACGCAATAAAAACTAGCAAATTCAAAACGCATTTTAATTAAAAAAAGAAACTGAAATCTAGTAGGCCACGCGTCGAGCTCCCGCCGAAACCGCGCGAATTTTACATTGTTGACTGCATAGAATTGATAAATTATTTAATAAGCTGTCCGATAACGTTATAATGAATTTCAATACCTAACTACTATAACTTATTTCGTTAATCCCCGTAATCGGGGAGCAAGTTCCGGACTTGAAGTAGAACAAAGAATCTCACTCTACCTTCCCTCATTCCCTATCTTGCTGCTGCTGTCCTGCTATCCCTGACTAGCCTGCCATTTTGTTCCTGCACTCGTGTTTTCCAGACCCACCTCCACCACCATCAAGGAAGATATCGTGCCACACTATCTATACAATTAATTGAAGACCAATACAGAAAAAGAACCCTACCTTGACGACCCTGAGTCTAAATTCAGTACATAGTTAAAATTTATATTATGTAATTCTATATCCTTTTTTATAGGAACTTTTTTCAATATATAGTTTACTAAATTTTGTAAGTTTTATTGCTCATACATCATACATACTGATAACAACGTAGCAAAGACTTGACGAAAAAATTAAACCTAACTGTGTATCAAATTAGTTAATCCGGATGGAATTTCTCATTAACTGAATAGAATTGTAGCAGAGAGGGTGTGTATCCAATTTCATGGTACGGATTTTTACCGAGTAAAACGACCAATAGGAGATTTCCAGTTTTTCGTGCGGTTCGTATCTTTAACCGACGTCGATATAAATTAAATGACCTCTTACTTTACCTTGTCATCTATTATATATGCTCATTAGTCAAATATTTTTTTGTAGTGAACAATAACTTATTAAGCTGGATAAAACAATACTTGGGAATAATTGCTAAATCATCTAGTTTCAATTATTCTTAGATAAATATAGATAAACTTAATAGTGCCTTCTCCATTTCTTATCCTATCAATTAACCGATTGATACAAAGCTTTATATTATTTTGTTTTCGACATAATATAAATAAATAAATATTTTACCAACATTTTGCAGTTCTGTATATTGTATTTGTTATTAATATTGTTGTATCGCATAGTCTTTGTACACATACACACACAACACATATAACCTCCTTTTCGATTTGAAGGCGTAGATGGTTTTGTTGCTGTATAACTATTGTAATTACGAAATTAAAATTTGTAATAATGAATACCTACTAACCACGTAACAATTTAATTTAGCTTAACTTTATGAACGTAAACAATTTTATCTAAGTTTCAGTATCGAAACTGTTTGTATAGTTGGAAGGAAACAATGCTAAATTGGATTAGCACCGATCCCATCGGCTTCCCTGTAGGAAGTGTTAAATCATCAAGTTGCTCACTAATTGGAAGTGCATTAGTAGAATATTTATAGTTCGTACTAGTTTTAATTTGCTGTCAAAGTAACATGATATTTTTAGAATCATTTTTATGTTTCTATTCAGTATTTTTCAAAGATTAAGAAAAAGTTTGAGAAGCTAGATGACACAATAGTAAGGACGTTCAGTCTATGATGATACGGATAAGGATATTTCGCATCATAGGATAGTTAACCCAAAACTACTATCTTGATTGATGGTTTCAGCTGCATTTGCAATTGGTAACGTGGGTCATGGCATATTCGATTCCATTTCATTCATAGGAAATGTCTGTGCCACAGCAGTGCGAATATTTACTGGCTGGTGATGATTATGTACTTGACCGAGTTTCCTAATTACTTTGCATATTATTTACTATTAACTGCAGTTTTAAGTTACCCGTTTTCTCATTCAAGAAAAGGTTAAATTGTTTTAAGTTCGGCCAGACGTGGCGTGGATGAGCGCGTCGAGGCTTTATGTCACGTAAAGTAATAAGCTCTGTATTTCTATTGGCGTAAAGTTCATATTGCACTGCCAAACGGATCTTCTACTCCTAAGTTTACGAAGCTGAGCGAGACATGAATTGAAATAGTTGCTGCAGAAATAGAGTTACAAATTTGTTTAGCGAAAATTTCGCCCGACTCAATCTCAGTTGGGTGATTTAAAAGCACCTTGTCAGATCATATAAGTAAATATTACAATGTTTTATAACTAAAAAGTTGAAAGCATTTTTCCTTGAAACAATAGACTATTTAAAAAATATATATTCAAAATGATAAATTTCAAATGTATCATATCAGTTCCATTTGTTGGGCCAAAGGTCTTACCTATGAATGGAAACGAATACCACAC